CGATCTTCGCATAATTCTCCGCGAATTTTGTCCAAAGCATAGTTTCCACACTTATATATTAAATGCTATATATAGTCTGATAGCCGTTTCCTGCTTTACCACAGCCGGCTCATCGTGCTCCTTAATATGTGAATTTTTTCTCGTTTTCAAATTAATATGTCACCGGGATATTTTGAATTACTTATAAAGTAGTTTGATCTAAAATGGTGACAAATAGTAATCAACTTACAGTACGAACCTAGGGCCCTTTCCTTTTCAAAATATTTGTTGGTACCATTACGTCAGATAAATAGGCCTCCTCTCAAGGAATTCGTTCAGCTACTTACAGGATCCCTTTTCTTAACAGAAGTTAACGCCCTGCATACGGTTAGAAAAAAAAAGGCAATCTTCTAGAGCAGCTACCCTATGAGCACGAAGGCTGCTGAACCGCTTACAAATGGTCTTCTCAAATCTTGGATGGAATACTGTTGTAAAATTTTAAAAAAAAGTTTACTGAACACCAAAATTTAGCAGTGCTAGAATAGGTTCCCATAAATAAGTTTATGAACACGTTGCCAAATTTTTCTTTGTTCCAAAAACTGGCTGACTTGATGGAACCATATGAAATTTCGTAGAATACGTAAGGGGCTCAGAGAAAAGTGCGGAAGTATAAGCTTCAGGAAAAAAAACAAAAAAAAAAACACGGAAAACTTATAACAACATGATATGTAGCGGGTTGCTTCACAATTAAGGAGTAAATTTTCTTAATCCCAAAGAGGTGTAATTGTGCACTTTAGAAAATCTCTGTAAGATTTTTGATTGAGAGGGTCGATGCATAAATGAAATGATAATATGCTAACGATTTTAGATGGTCTACACCCTAGTCACCGAATTTATCAACTTACGTAGGTTTGAAAGTTGAATACGACATTATCCATTCATAAAAAGTTGATCCATTACCAAAACTTGTTTGCTGCACTTTTGTAAAAGTTTTTCTAGAATAGATCACTGTCCATTGACTAAGGGGTACGGACCCCGCCGTCACACAACAACATTAGATCGTAACAACATCTAACCCATGCTTAGTATTGTGTTGCCTTGGAAAAATCTCAAATACTTCACATCTTGTGACAAGCTGCTCAAAAAAACGAGTATTCTTTAAAAATTAGCATTTGACCGTGGGATGCAGGCTAATGAAAGATTATTGACTTGACGTCGCAAGCCAATTGTGAAAACTGCAATTGATTGATATATGATCAAAATATCATGAAAATTTCTTAAAGCATTTCTTCTTTTGTTTCAACACAAAGATCTGTCCGCTTTAAGTCCTAATAACTGCAACAACAATGAGATTTCTTCGTGGGAGTTTGTTATCAACAGACATGACGTTCGCAATGCT